AAGCGCATGCTCATTGAGGCTTCTAGGGGACAGCCTAATAAGCTATAGTTCTTTTGCTGGCTGGGAAGGTGTATATGGAGCAGCCTGGAGATCATTTTGTAGTCTGAAGAAACTACAGAACCGTCCCACCCATTTCTTGAGGATTTATTTTAATATATATATTAAATATATATATTAAATATATTAATATATATATTGAAATATATATTAAATATATTATATAAATATATAATGAAACATATATATGATATATATATATATATATATATATATATATATATATATTGTATATTTTGATTTCATATTATACTGTTCAAGGGCCAAGAGAACAAGCCCTATGAGGAACGGCTGAAAGAGCTGGGCATGTTTAGCCTGCAGAAGAGAAGGCTGAGAGGAGACAGGATGAGGGCCATGAAGAAATGTGTGAAGGGAAGTCATAGGGAGGAGGGAGCAGGCTTTCTTTCTGCTGCCCTGGAGACTAGGACACAATGGAGTCATGGCTTCAAACGACAGGAAAGGAGATTCCACCTGAACATTAGGAAGAACTTCCTAACTGTGAGAGTTGTTCAGCAGTGGAAGTCTCTGCCCCGGAATATGGTGGAGGCTCCTTCTATGGAGGCTTTTAAACAGAGGCTGGATGGCCATCTGTTGGGGGTGCTTTGAACGTGATTGTCCTCCTTCTTGGCAGAATGGGGTTGGCATTAGGAAGAACTTCCTGACTGAAAGCTGTTCAGCAGTGGAACTCTCTGCCCCGGAATGTGGTGGAGGCTCCTTCTATGGAGGCTTTTAAACAGAAGCTGGATGGCCATCTGTTGGGGGTGCTTTGAACGTGATTGTCCTGCTTCTTGGCAGAATGGGGTTGGCATTAGGAAGAACTTCCTGACTGTGAGAGCTGTTCAGCAGTGGAACTCTCTGCCCTGGAGTGTGGCGAAGGCTCCTTCCTTGGAGGCTTTTAAACAGAGGCTGGATAGCCATCTCTTGGGGGTGCTTTGAACATGATTGTTCTGTTTCTTGGCAGAATGGGGTTGGGATTAGGAAGAACTTCCTGACTGTGAAAGCTGTTCAGCAGTGGAACTCTCTGCCCCAGAATGTGGTGGAGGCTCCTTCTATGGAGGCTTTTAAACAGAGGCAGGATGGCCATCTGTTGGGGGTGCTTTAAACGTGGTTGTCCTGCTTCTTCCCTAGGAGTCTATGAGTCTATAAATAAAGATTATCATTATTATTATTATACTGCCAGATAATCCAGTTCAAAACAGATAATCTGGATGTTCTATGGCAGTGTAGAAGCTGTTTTCATTAATATCACTTTTAACCTGATGCGTGTTTCGGTGTTGGGAATTGAGCCCAAAGGTGCATCCACACTGGAGAATTAATGCAGTTTGATACCACTTCAACTGCAGTGGGTCAATATGACTGAATCCTGGGAGCTGTAGTTGCGCTTTTTAGCCTTCTCTGGACAAAGAATGCCGGTACCTCACCAAACTCCAATTTGATATACTGTCATTTTGGCTCCTTTTTTTTTTTTTACTGTGTGTGTGTATTTAGAACAGACATGGGCAAACTTGGGCCCTCCAAGTGTTTTGGACTTCAACTCCCACAATTCCTAATAACCTCAGGCCATTTCCTTTCCCCCTCAGTCCCTTAAAGGAAGGAACCAGAGGCTGTTAGGAATTGTGGGAGTTGGAGTCCAAAACACCTGGAGGGCCCAAGTTTGCCCATGCCTGATATAGAATCAAAGTATGATAGAGTTGGAAAAAACCACATGGGCCATCTAGTCCAATCCCCTGCAATTCACAATCAAAGTACCCCTGACAGATGTCCATCCTGCCTGTTTAAAACTTCCTATCCTTTACCACACTCTGAATCAGAGAGTTCCACTGTTGAAAGCTTGTACGTTCAGGAAGTTCTTCCTAATGTTCAGGTGGAATCTCCTTTCCTGTTATTTCAACCCATTGCTCTGAATTCGAGTTTCCAGAGCAGTAGGAAATAAGCCTGCTCCTCTTATGATACCCTTTCACATATAGAGTCTCGGTTATTCAATTTTCGCTCATCCAACGTTCTGTATTATCCAACACAGTCTGCCCCCCACCCGGATCCACAGTTGTTTCAATACATTGCGATGTTTTGGTGCTAGATTCATAAATACAGTAATTACTACATGACGTTACCATGTATTGAACTGCTTTTTCTGCCGATTTGTTGTAAAATATGATGTTTTGGTGCTTAATTTGTAAAATCATAATGTAACGACCTTTAATAGGCTTGTCCTTAACTCCTTATTATCCAACATTTTCACTTATCCAACGTTCTGCTGGCCTGTTTATATTGGATAAGCAAGACTGCTGTACATGGCTATCATGTCTCCTCTCAACCTTCTGTTCTGCAGGCTAAACATACCCAGTTCTTTAAGATGCTCCTCATAGGACTTGTTCACCAGACCTTTGATCATTTCCGTCACCCTCTGGATACCTTCCAGCTTGTCGATATCTCTTTTGAACTGTGAGGCCCAGAACTGGACACAGTATTCCAGGTGAGGTCTAACCAAAGCAGAATACAAAGGCACTGTGACTTCCCTTGATCAGGACACTATACTCCTTTTGATGCAGCCCAAAATCCCATTGGCTTTTTAAGCTGCTGCATCACACTGTTGTTATTATTATTATTTCTAACTTTTCTTCTCTCCTTGAAGTGACTAAGGACAGCTTCCAAATACAAACACAAATATTCAATGCCATATACAATCACTGTTGGTTCATGTTGTCCACGAAGACTCCAAGATCTATAATAGAATCATAGTTGGAAGAGATCTCATGGGCCATCCAGTCCAACACCCCATGGCGTCAAAATGATCACAACGGTTAGCAAAAATCTCAGAACCACACGGGGGAACCTGCAGAAAGCTGGGACCAACGTAACAAAGGCTACCATCAGTAACACACTATGCCGCCAGGGACTCAGATCCTGCAGTGCCAGACATGTCCCCCTGTTAAAGCCAGAACATGTCCGGGGCTGACTGAAGTCTGCTAGAGAGCATTTGGATAATCCAGAAGAGTATTGGGAGAATGTCATATGGTCAGATGGAACCAAAGTAGAACTGTTTGGCAGAAACAACTTGGCGTGTTTGGAGGAGAAAAAATGCCGAGTTGCATCCAAAGACCACCATACCTTCTGTGGTACTGTGAAGCATGGGGATGGCAACATCATGCTTTGGTGCTGTTTCTCTGCAAAGGGACCAGGGCGACTGATCTGTGTACATGAAAGAATGAATGAGATTTTGAGAAACGTGGCTGGGACTTTCAGCATGACAATGATCTCAAGCACACCACCAGGGCAATGAAGGAGTGGCTTGGTAAGAAGCATTTCAAGGTCCTGGATTGGCCTAGCCAGTCTCCAGATCTCAACCCTATAGACAAACTTTGGAGGGAGTTGAAAGTCCATGTTGTCCAGCGACAGCCCCAAAACATCACTGCTCTTGAGATCTGCATGGAGGAGTGGGCCAGCATATATGCAACAGTGTGTGCCAATCTTGTGAGGACTTAGAGAAAATGTCTGACCTCTGTCATTGCCGATGAAGGATATATAACAAATTAATGAGATGAACTTTTGCTATGGGCCAAATACTTATTTTCCACCATGATTGCAAATAAATTTGTTAAAAATCAGACGTGATTTTCTGGATGTGTTTTCTCATGTTGTCTCTCATAGTTGAGTTCTATCTATAATGTCAGTTACAGGCCTCTCATCTTTATAAGTGGGTGAACTTGAATAATTGGTATCTGACTACTTTTCCCCCCACTGTATTTTAGATTGCACATCTTTGACAGGACCAACTTGTGGTTGTTTTATTTATAAAGTGCCAGGTATATTGATGTGTGCTATATAAATAAAAGATAATTACCCTAAAAAAAAAACCAGGAATCCATGGTCTATTTCTTATTTCTGTTTCTATAGCTAGCAGTAGTGGTTTTACAAATTCCCTTTTTTGTGCGCTAGCAGTTTTTCTCCTTAAAGCCTTTCCCTCTGCGCAGCATCTCAAGAAAGGCTAATACTTTCCACAGCAGGATGTTGATTACCATTTTTCTAAACCACAACAAGTTCTCATACATTTCACTACATGTTGTACATTTAAAAATGCAAAAACTAAAACACAGTGCACACAGAGAAACAGAACATAAATTTACTTGCATACAATTTAATGTTTGTTAAAAGTAACAAGTCATATACAGCTATCACAAGCAGTTTTTCATTCAGTATTGCCAACAAAAAGAGATAGAGAAAATCTGCAATAGAAGTAGGCACATCTTGTTTGTAAGAGGTGATCATCCATTCATTAAGCTGTATAATGAAATGGGGAGGGGGAATCAGGTGACAAAGTAACAATTTCAAAACTTATATTGAAACACTTAAGATGTCAAAACATAGATGAAAGTTGGTCTTTGAAAATATTGCACCACAAAAATGGACTTCTATCCTCTCGCCAGTGTTAAATTACATTGCACATGGACAGTTGAAGGGCTTTCCCACTGGATCAAACTTGGAGAAACATTTTTTTTAGAAAGGATACTTGGCCTGTTGCACAATGAACCCTTATGAGAGCTTTTGTTCCTTCTGATGAAGCTATTAAGGAAGCCCTTTTTCTTCACAGTTCCACAGCTGTCTCTTTTGCAAAGCAGTTCCTCTTGCAACATGACCAGCTACCATTCTGTCCAGATGTAACACTAAGAAAAGCCAATTCTCAGCCTCTACAGCAAGACCACACAAGGCCTAGTTTAAATACACACAATTTCAGGATCAACATTTTACTGCAAGTGTAAAAAAAAATATGAAAAAGCAATTTTTGCTTGAATATTATACATCAGACAGCCCCGATTATGAAAAAAAATTAAAAATGGTATAGAAAATGAAATATTTACTGAACAAATGCTATTTTAAAATTTTTAAAACTGACCATTTAAGTATCGGCAATTGTCCCCTTCTGCTATATAATTTAGCTTCCACATACTAAGATAAAATTAAAACCTAGAAGATAGCTTGAGAACAAAAACAACCAAAATATATAAAATGGAAGGATTTTTTTTTTTTTTTGCATTCTTCAATGCAAAGACACTGGACATAGTTCAGCAGATGCTGCTGGCAGAATCTTCAATCCATTTCAGTGGGATCTGAATAGGAGTTACACCAAAATCTGCAGTCGTAATGCAGACATACCAAAGAAGAAACCTCATTGAACTCAGTGGAATGTAATCCTGTATAAACATGCATACAGTTGGGCTGTGTGTCCCACTAAAACAGACAAAATACAGCGGTGGTACATATGGCTTGGACCCGCTGTTGTTTCATGTTTGCCAAAGCCACAGAACATAATGTCCTGGACACATCATAGAGGCTACCCAGCAATAAAACAAAGAAAAAGTGTGCGTTTATGCCATTTGACAAGTGCAATATTAACAATTTCAAAAGTAATACAGCATAACTAATAACAATCACAGTTACTGAATTGGTGCAGCAGAACTAGACAAAAAAATACTTTTCCGTGAATTTAAAAAAAAGCAAAACTACTACTCCGTCCGTAAAAGAGCCTTCTTTTGTATGGTGTCACAGCTGTACTACATATCAAAAAAGTAACATTTAACCCTGCCCACCTCACCTCCTTGCAAACATACACATTAAGGACCACTAGTCAAGTTTTACTCTACAGACCCTGTTGCATTCTGAAGTTTCATGTTTGAAGAGATGTGAAAACATTAATGTGAGAAGACTACTGTATGTGTGTGTGTATCTCTGAAAGATCAGCAGGTGACAAAGATCTGAAGAGCTACTATGAAGTACATTGAAAATTGAGGACAGCACAAAATGCCAGATTTAAGCTTTTATATGATAACACAGCAACAAATAGGAATAACTTGAATCCACGCAGTAGTTGCAGGCATAAGGAACTGCATGTGTGGTTTGATTCAAATCATTTCTAGATACAGATCTGCTTGCTCACCAGATCCAGCTTGCATTACTATCTGAAGAGGTGCATTGCTTCCCCTAATTCACTGCTGCCAGAATCTACTGAGAACACTTCCTACCAGAAATTTTCACTGAATAGAAGGAATAAGAGACCTGTGTTTTCTAGAATCTGCACATATATATAGATCAATGATTCCCACATTTAAGTCTTCCGGATGTTTTGACTTCAACTCCCAGAAGCCCTGCCTGCCTGCCTTGGTCTATAATAATCAGGGCTTCTAGAAGTCCAAAATACCTAGAAGGCCAAAGTTTGGGAGTCACTGCTATAGATCCTATTCATGTAATGTTTACCATGGTTTTGTTTCCTTAAGCTATAAGTTGTTTCCTTAAGTCATAAGCTAGTGTATGAAAACTTTGATTTCCAAAAAAATGGTGTTATCCACAGTTGAAGTATAACACCTGCACTAAGCAAATCATAGTAAACAAATCAGTTTTCTTTCTCTGCTTGTATGTTGAAGAGGAAGTTATCTGATTCCTTCCTATAGGCTGTCAAGGGGAAGGGCTTGCCTTGGCAAGGTAGACCCACAACTTCCCTGTCGTCTTGTAAAACAGAAAGATGAACCAGAGTTCTGCATGACTGTGAATAAACTACGTGCCAATGCTTTTGTAAATTGAATGCTTTTGTAAATGGTTCTGTTTGAACTAGATTCTTGCCTTGTTGTTCCAAAACAAATTAGGAATTGTAAATCCAAAACAAACCATCATCTGCAAATCCTGGATCCTTTTGAAGCAACAAGCCAAGATCCCCAGTAAAGTCAACATGCCATTCCTGGTTTGTTTAGCTGCTATGGTGGTTGAGAAAAACAAAATGAGAGAAATGAACTGCATGCCCAAACATATAACTTACTCATGGTAAATTAGAATGATATTGAATTCTTGCTTATCATTCTGTTCAAACACAGCTTGTGTGTTTGAGACCAGAGAGAATTAAGGCAAAAGACAACTATGGTTAAGTGATGTATCTGAGCTGGGCTTGAAAGACTGGAAAACGTAGATTTTGTATGTATATCCTCTCCTAATTCACCCAATTTGTTGAATTAAATAAACATGTATTCTGGGCATGAGTACTATGTCAGCACTTTAGTAATAATCAAAAACAAGCTGTTTCAAGCAGCCAAACCTGCCCACCCATTGCTAATCAATGAGTTTATGTACATTTCTAAGCCAAACAGAGCTACCTAATGTTCCATTACTTTTACAAATCTTCAGTATAAAAAGTGGTGTAAAAAAGTACTATGCAACTGAGACAAAATCCAAATCGCCCATTGCTTGAAGAGTTATCTGCCAAGAAACCTGGATACGAAAGCCATATGAAAACAGAAGCCACCAACTTCTCAGTGTAAGCTTCCAAGAACTGCATGCACTAATCCATTTGGGTTATCCTATCAGCCACATTCTCATGGGATTTAGGCACAGGATCCTATTGTTTAGTAGCATGCAAGAAGCTACTAATATGACATGAGTAAATTAATTTGCACAGCTGCAGACCTGCCAAGTATACATTTTGTATCTTTCTAAGGACAAAGTTATGCAGTGGCCAGAGAGCCCCTTCCTCTAATTAACCCCCAACTAAAATGCTCAGGTAGAATTCATATTAGGATTTCTGTCTGCTCCCTGCCATTGAATAGCAGCGTCCCTCCCTTGCAGTATCACACAGTGCTTCTGAAACTTTCTATGTAAAGGGTTGTACAAGTTCCAAAGCTCTTTTGGTGCTGGCTTATCCCTCCTGTCCCTAAATAGTGAACCCCCACACTACTGGCCTTAACAATACTCACTCCTTTATTTTATGGAAAATCCAAGCACATAGTTTGACTGTAGATCTGTCGACACATCAAGTAATTAAAAAACATGATAGGAGCCTTTTTTTTTACCACTGGCAGCCTTGAGACAAGTGCTGTTTGTCAAAGGGAACCGTTGTAATGATAGATCAGGGGGCAACTGAAGCCTGCTATGCAAAAAATCATCTTCATTTTATCCTGATCTAACAAATAACCACTTTTACTGTAACAGGAATATATAGTCAGCAATATAAAGACAAACTACAAAAGAGTATGGTTTACAGAGTCCATGAAGCCCCAATGTGTACACAGTAAAAAACAAACTCTGCTCAACAAGGCTGCCTTTTCTTTCACACAAATCATACCATGTCTAATCATAATTTACTTCGTTACATGAAGATATCTAGACTGCTTTTAAATTTATAGTCAATTCCTGTGCAAACTGCAGTGTGGCTATCTTCTCAGTGCCAAAGTTAACTGTAACTTGATTATAATTGGAAGCATAGGACTATGATTTCTTTTTTTCTTTTTAGGCATGCTTATTGCTGTAAAAAATAATAATAAGCCAACCCTACAAATCATTGCGCAAGTATTTTAATAAGATTCGCACACATTTCAAAAAATTCTATTGTGTGGCTCCCTGATCTTGGGGTCAACTCAGCTGCAGATGAGTCGAGGGAAGAGGTCACCGAGGAGGTAAGAGACATATCAGAGGATTTTCCTTGAGCATCAGTGTCCAAATCTTTCTGACAAGATTTGTAGTTTGTCACAGAGCCTGACCTCTGGGGAGTAGCAGTCCCAGATTTGACTTCATTAATTTCATCTAGAGAAAAGAGAACAATTTAAAATGTATGGCAGCCAGACGAGACAGTAACAATGATTGGAAAAATAAGACAGACTGGAAAATGTAGATCACTATGGTGATATATCTCCAGGGTGACCCAATCTAGTTCAATAAATCAAGTGTGGGCAGTCTGGAATGAATATAAGCTCTTTTAACTGACTGGGTAGTGTTAACCATAAAAATTTGCTTGGCTGGATTAAACTGCAATTTATCTACCCCACAAACTAGGCAGCCAGTAAGATCACAAGCACATTACAATGGTAATCTCATCTTATATAAGTACAGATAGGTTCTGTAAGGTTTGTTCTTAAGTAGAATTTGTATGTAAATCGGAACAGGTACACTTTTTTAAGTGTAGCTCCAGCCTTATATATATGGGGGGGGGGGGGAGAGCACGAGCACTTTGGACAGCATAGGATAGGATAGCATAGAGAATGCTACCTGTGCCCCTGTTCAGAAAATTTCATGTTGCCAGCATAACTGCATGGAGTGTTGTTATCTTCTCACAGAAGCGGTACCTATTGATCTACTCACATTTGCATGTTTTCGAACTGCTAGGTAGGTAGAAGCTGGGCCTAACAGCAGGAACTCACCTCGCTCCCAGAATTTGAACTGCCAACCTTTTGGTCAGCAAGTCCAATAGCTCAGTGGTTTAATCTGCTGCACCACCAGGAGGCCCAACAGCCTCTGAATACAAAAGTGCAAATAACAAACAGTGACACCCCGTATCTGTGGAGGGATAAATTCTCAGCCAGACTGTGGTTAATGAAGTGCCATTAAATTTTCTTACTTCCAGTCATAGCATACTATAGTTTTGTTGTAGAACCTAGAGGTATCCTTTCTAGGAATTTGATAGGTCCTCCAAACAATTCCATCGTAATTTCTGGTGGAAGTATACCATAGAATCACCCGTAGGACTTAACAAATTACTTCCCACCTGTTCCCCACAAGTGTAGATAAATAAAACTGCAGGTACTGGTTCAGTGGTCACAGGGATCTTATTGTACTAAAAACACATTACTGATTTGCACACAGGAAAAACCACAGTAAGAATATTAAATTTCTTTGCACAAGCAAACAACTAAATGCATATAATCAGGTTCACATACCATCAATGCTACGGAAATCCAATAGGTAAGTCCTACTGTCCACCTGGTACAACTGTAGACTCATTTTGGAATAAGTGCCAGTCACTGGATTCTTCCTTCGAACACGCAAATAGTATGGATTTACAACCTAAGAAGCAGAATTGAATATTAATTTGTACCATAAAATTTCAAGCAAAAAACAACTGTTGTGAAGTCAGCCCATACTGTCACTGTTTGTGGAACTGAGACTAAAGCAAGCTCACCTTCCATTCATAATCCAACTGTTTGATTGCTCGACAAACTTCTGCCATTATGTCATTTGGTCGACTCTGACTCCGAATTCCCAAATGCCACTTAGCTCTTCTGACTCCTTGGTGTTTGGACTTCTGTGGGTTTAGCTCATCAAGCGTATGCCGCTGCCTTGGTAGTTCAGCAACTAAAAATGGCACTCTTTCAGGGTGGGGGCGGGAGAAGTGATCATCAAGAAAGGAATCTGGTGGGCTTGTTGCCAAGTAAAAGTCTTTAGCCTCATTCATTATTCTCCGGTTATCTATAATCAAGTGGTAGGCAACAGCTAAAGGATCCTGATGATTTCGATTATACAAACAGCCGAGAACTTCCTCCTCTGTGCATTCAAATTTCTCACAGACCTCTTTTAAGGCTTCATCATCAATCATGGTTGAACTGTATGATGGGTCTTCAGGAAAGAGGTATTTGGGGAGGTCGAGCTTGAACCAGTCATGTTCCCTAGATGCAAAATAACACAGTCATTTTACAATCCAGCTGTTCCACTCCTTAATATTGTACATACTCAAGTACAAGTCTAGAAATTTTAGTAAAAACATGTTCTGATTTATCCACAGGTTGATGTAAGTACTGTACTATAGCATTCGTGAAAAAAGGAACCATCCTCTTTTTGGAGCACAGTCTGATAGGCGAGAACTAAGTCTGCCTTGGTAGAATCATAAAAATATTGAATCATTGAGTTGGAAGAGACCTCCAGGGCCATCCAGTCCAACCCTCTGTTAAGAAGCAGGAAAATCGCATTCAAAGCACCCCCAACGGATGGACATCCAACCTCTGTTTAAAAGCCTCCAAAGAAGGAGCCTCCACCATGCTCTGGGGCAGAGAGTTCCACTGCTGAACGGCTCTCATAATTACGAAGTTCTTCCTAATGTTCAGGTGGAATCTCCTTTCCTGCAGTTTGAAGCCATTGTTCCACATCCTAGTCTCTAGGACAGCAGAAAACAAGCTTGCTCCCTCCTCCCTATGACTTCCCCTGACATATTTATACATGGCCATCATGTCTCTTCTCAGCCTTCTCTTCTGCAGGTTCTGCAAGTTCTCTTTTGCAGAGCCTAAAAAAAGCTCTGTCTCCATCTACTTCCTCCACTGAAATATGTTTTCGAAAGTCTGGGTGGACAAATGGTGGAGAAGGAACAAGAAGGGCTGGCCGTGATGTGGCACTGGTACTTTCCCCCTCCATGGAATGACCCTCAACTTATCCATGGGACACATCGCCATCCTTTTTTTTTCTTTTCCAAAACCTTCCCTCAACTTATACATGAGGTCAGCTTATATATGAGTATATATGGCAAACACTTTACTAACAAAATATTGCAAACACAGATTAATATTTTACTATTTGTTTTTACTCTCAATCCAAAAGTGACATTTGATTCAGCTCAAGACATAAAATTGTGCTAACTGCTGAAACTGTGCATTCATCAACAGAATATTTAATTTCTTTCTAAAATATCTTCCTATTTATAAAATGGTAACAATTTATCATATCCTCCTAAGTATTATTTCTGACTGACCTTTTTCCAACAATTAAAAGTGCAGCTTGCTAAAACACAAAACATGTTTTACAACCCAATTTCAAACTTTTCTTTAAAATGTAGCGATTCAGTTGCAACATTGTTTTAGATTTATTGCTGTACATGTTAGTTCCAAAAAAGCCCACAATGTTATTTTTAAAATATAATGTAAAATCAACATAGTATGACTCTAAAACAGTATTTTATGTATTCAAAGTACTGAAACAACAACAAAATCGGAAATATTTCAAATGCTTAAAATAACAACAAAAATGGCAGCCTGTAAACATCTTTAAAAACACAAATTCAAGGAGAAAAGTATCTAAACTGGTCCCAAAATACATAATTAATGTTATATTTGATACAAAGCTGCTTAAAAAAATAAGCATTAGTTTTATGTACTCTTCATATGCAAATAATTGCATTGAAACATTCATTAATGTACAGTATAGTGTGTTACAATACAAAAGAAACTAGATTATACCAATTATAGCATGATCACAGAATCAGAATTTGCAGTTCACACATAATGCTAGTTCAGGAATTCAGGAATGCGAGTGCCAAAACTTAGATGCTTATGTTTTATCCTCTCACTTGTTCTTCCAGCACAATCAAAAGAAAGAGAAACTATTTATTTATTTATTTCCATCCTTCTCAACCCCCAAAGGGGGACTCAGGGCGGCTTACATCGCCAGCAATTCGATGCCAACACATATAGCATACATACACAATATATCACAACATTACACATTAAATAAAACAATTAAGTTAAAAATCCATTTAAAAACATTACATAAAATTTCCAGGTTTAAATTAATCTCCGTCCACTGTTACATATGAATCAGACAAAACTGTTTAACAATAAACCATGATTTATTGAAACAAGTCAAGGTTGACCTATGCTGGCTTATTTCAACCAACCACTGATAAACGAACAGCAGTTTGGTCTGGTTAGGAAGCAATGAAAACCCGCAGCTTGTTCAGGAAGAAGATATTTGCTCATGCAGCCCTGGAGAAAGGGAAGAAAACTCAAAGAAAGGTCCAGTAATATATTTAGCTAATTCCACAATCATAGCTAGTTCACTATGATTAATATTATACCCAAATGAGGACAATGTGAGCAGATGGGGCAGTAAATCTGGCATAAATGTTTATAATTAGGTCAATTTATACATATGGTGGTGAGACATACCTTATATCTCTTATTGTAGCTCTCTTCATAGGATCCACCTGCAGCATGTGTTTCAAAAGGCTAATTACTGCTGGATTCAGGTACTGAGGAGTATAAAAGATACCATCGCATATCTTCTTAAAAAGTGTTGGCACATGATCATCGTCAAACGGGAGGGTTCCACATAACAGAGCATAAAGTATAACTCCACTGCTCCAGATATCCACTTCTGGGCCTGCATATAATCTGGAAAATGGAACTTGCAGTGAATTTTAATCACGTAACAATGTCTACATGAAACTTCTTAGTCTGTTATGCTTTATATGGTTAACAGAAGAAAGTACACAAAGTATTGAATTGCACGTGCCTTGTCATTTGTTAATATAAAATGGACACAAATGCTATGCAGTGACATAGTACTTGTTGCATTCCAAGGCTGAGAACCACCTTTGTACTTAACACACACTCCAGTCCAAGGTAAAATAGAAAAGCAGTTATTGAAGAACATATATGAGAAGCAATTCAGCAAAATAATACGAAAAACCAAGTCCAAATATAAGGAACAATCCACAGAAATCAAAGTACAGGAGTAGCATCAAAACCCAGGAATACAAAAGCAGAATAAATCCAAAACATGAAATTCAGAAAAAGTCCTCAAAACCTGGAATCAAGAAATATGAACAAAAGGAAACATGGAACTAAAAATCCCTTGACTTGACCATAGGTCTTTACTCAACACCAGCATTGCCAGGACTAATGGGCCCATCTGCTGGGCTAGCTAATATAGAACGAAAATCATGCCTTCTCCAGTGAGAACATGATAAAAATTTCTTGACCTTTGTACTCTCTCTTGAGAAATACTATGTTGACAGAACGTAAATCTCCTAACTGCTCATTAGACTGTCCACCTGGAATTTTATTATCATCCTCTGAGCTCAGATCTGCTCCTGATCTTGCTTCCTTAGTGAACTGCCTTTCAGGGATGTGGCCTTCAGACATCGACTGCTCAGTTTCAGGGCTTAAAATCTCTTGCTGGGTCTCTGCTGACTTGCAGACCCAGAATCCCCAGTGTCATCAGAATGACCAACAGGTCCAGAATCCCAAGAGAGGTCAGGTGCAAGCACATTCATAGGCTGAACTACAACAGTACTGTAACGAGAAACACTTGGATCTAAATAATGCTCAAGTATACACTGGGGCACTTTGATCAACCAAGTACAAACTGGCATACCTGCAACACTATAAAAATGAGGCAGGAATGGAGAACCTTGCATCCTTCTATGTATGTAGATATCGAGGGGTATAACCTCTTTCACAGAAACCGAACAAAGGGGAGAGGAGGCGGAGTAGCCTTATATGTCAAAAACTCTTATGCTGCAGAAGAGATTCAAGACAGCAATCTGGGAAACCAGCTTGAAATCATCTGGATAAGAATCAAGGGAACTGGGACTCAAAAAGATGTCGTTGTAGGCATCTACTACAGACCCCCAAGCCAGGAGGAAGAACTTGATGAAGTCTTCTGCCAACAGTTGACCAAACAGGCACAGAGAAGAGATGTAGTAGTCATGGGCGATTTCAACTATCCCGATATTTGCTGGAAAACAAACTCGGCCAAGAGTACAAGGTCCAACAAATTCCTCGCTTGCCTTGCAAACAATTTCATGGTCCAGAAGGTAGAAGAGGCAACAAGGGGATTGGCTACTCTTGATCTCATCCTAACAAATGCGGAGGACCTGATCGATGCGGTCGAAGTGGTAGGATCCTTAGGGGCAGGTGACCATGTGCTCCTGCAATTTGAGGTACAAAGGAAGGCCGAAACTAAGACAAGTCAAACCCGCATTTTGGACTTTAGGAGAGCTGATTTCCAAAAAATGAAGGAAACACTGAGCAGCATTCCGTGGACACAGATACTAAAAGACAAGGGAGTTACGGATGGATGGGAATTTCTCAAGAGTGAAATACTCAAGGCGCAATTGCAAACTGTGCCAACAAGAGAAAAAATAGGACAAGTGCAAAGAAGCCAGAATGGATGTCCAAAGAACTTCTAACTGTGCTAAGACACAAGAGACATGCACAAGAAGTGGAAAAAGGGAGAAATCACCAAAGAAGAATTCAAACAAATAGCCAACACCTGTAGGGAAAAGGTCCGCAAGGCTAAAGCAAAAAACGAGCTCAGACTTGCCAGGGACATTAAAAACAATAAAAAAGGCTTCTTCTTATGTCAGTAGAAAAAGGAAAAAGAAGGAGGCGATAGGACCTCTTCGAGGAGAAGATGGGGCAATGCTGACAGGGGATAGGGAAAAGGCAGAACTACTTAATGCCTTCTTTGCCTCGGTCTTCTCACAAAAAGAAAGTCATCTTCAACCTCAGCAAGATGAAGTGGATGAGGGATTAGAGGACATCCAACCCCAAATTGGGAAAGAAGTCGTCCAGGAATACCTGGCCGCTCTTAATGAGTTCAAGTCCCCAGGGCCAGATCAACTACACCCCAGAGTATTGAAGGAACTAGCGGAAGTCATTTCGGAACCATTGGCAACCCTCTTTGAGAGTTCTTGGAGAACGGGAGAAGTTCCAGCAGATTGGAGGAGGGCCAATGTGGTCCCAATCTTCAAGAAGGGAAAAAAGGATGACCCAAACAACTACCGTCCGGTCAGTCTCACGTCGATACCGGGCAAGATTCTGGAAAAGATTGTTAAGGAAGCGGTCTGCAAACACTTAGAAACAAATGCAGTCATCGCTAATAGTCAACATGGATTTATCAAAAACAAGTCATGCCAGACTAATCTGATCTCTTTTTTCGATAGAGTCACAAGCTGGGTAGATGCGGGGAATGCCGTGGATGTAGCGTACCTGGATTTCAGTAAAGCCTTCGACAAGGTCCCCCATGACCTTCTGGCAAGGAAACTAGTCCAATGTGGGCTAGGCAAAACTACGGTGAGGTGGATCTGTAATTGGTTAAATGGACGAACCAGAGAGTGCTCACTAATGTTTCCTCTTCATCTTGGAAAGAAGTGACAAGTGGAGTGCCGCAGGGTTCCGTCCTGGGCCCGGTCCTGTTCAACATCTTTATTAATGACTTAGATGAAGGGCTAGAAGGCATAATCATCAAGTTTGCAGACGACACCAAATTGGGAGGGATAGCCAATACTCCAGAGGACAGGAGCAGAATTCAAAACGATCTTGACAGATTAGAGAGATGGGCCAAAACTAACAAAATGAAGTTCAACAGTGACAAATGCAAGATACTCCACTTTGGCAGAAAAAATGAAATGCAAAGATAGAGAATGGGGGACGCCTGGCTCGAGAGCAGTACGTGTGAAAAAGATCTTGGAGTCCTCGTGGACAACAAGTTAACCATGAGCCAACAATGTGATGTGGCGGCAAAAAAAGCCAATGGGATTTTGGCCTGCATCAATAGGAGCATAGTGTCTAGATCTAGGGAAGTAATGCTACCCCTCTATTCTGCTTTGGTTAGACCACACCTGGAATATTGTGTCCAATTCTGGGCACCACAATTCAAGAGAGATATTGACAAGCTGGAATGTGTCCAGAGGAGGGCGACTAAAATGATCAAAGGTCTGGAGAACAAGCCCTATGAGGAGCGGCTTAAGGAACTGTGCATGTTTAGCCTGAAGAAGAGAAGGCTGAGAGGAGATATGATAGCCATGTATAAATATGTGAGAGGAAGCCACAGGGAGGAGGGAGCAAGCTTGTTTTCTGCTTCCTTGGAGACTAGGACGCGAACAATGGCTTCAAACTACAAGAGAGGAGATTCCATCTGAACATGAGGAAGAACTTCCTGACTGTGAGAGCCGTTCAGCCCTGGAGTGTGGTGGAGGCTCCTTCTTTGGAAGCTTTTAAACAGAGGCTGGATGGCCATCTGTCAGGGGTGATTTGAATGCAATATTCCTGCTTCTTGGCAGGGGGTTGGACTGGATGGCCCATGAGGTCTCTTCCAACTCTTTGATTCTATGATTCTATGATTCTATGATTCTTATGTTGAGCTATTATTTCCATCAGACCTCACCATTTGTCAGGTGAGATCAAGAGCTCAACAACATCCAGAAGTTCAGAGGTTCCCTAATCCTGAGTTATAATGCACTGAAAGCATAATAATATTGCATATCCCGCAGTTCTGCTCAATTCTTTTTCTCCAATGTATTTTAGCTATTAAGTGTTACAGCCCTGATCTTGGTTTCAAGAATATGATAGATGTTAACAACTTTATAATAATCAAGGTAAAGTTAGAAAATGTATATGCTGAGAAAAAGGAGATGTGGGATGCAGTTTATGGTTCCATGTGCAGAAAAGCATATAAACTGCTTAACTACAGTTTAAAAACAGACCATGTTACCTCTGAACAGAATCTATCACTCAGTTTAACACAAATCACTAGAGAATTAAAAACAAATTATGTCCATATTCTCTGCAAGAAAAGTGTGGTATAATTGCAATAAATCAATAAACTGTGACAGTATCAGTTGTAGCAATAGACCTATATTCAGTACAATACAACACATTTTATCCTAGGAAGATATAGCAATTAATAGTACCTCACTACAAGATATGAGAATGACTTTCAAATTTCCAAACCTGAAAGGTTAGCAATCTACCTTGTAGCTTTAACACTGAAGAGCAGGGCTTTGTTTTTGAGAATACATATATACATTTATCCAAGAAGAGAAACTACCTTCCGGAAATTACTTCTGGAGCAGCATAATTAGGAGAGCCACAGCTTGTTCTCAAAAATTCTCCATCTGACATCATATTTGAAAGGCCTGAAAATGTACAAAAGTTCAAATGAAGATGACCAGTTGCAGATAACTAAAACACATTAAAGCCTCCCACAGTGCAAATAAGTTATTCATGCATCCAAATTGTTACATAAACAAATGAGGCACAAAAACAAAACAATATTACCAGTAGGAATACCACATACATTATAATTAAATAAAATTGTTCTGATGGCACTGCCTTTGACATAGTAAAAATATATGCAAAACATTGTGAAAAAGATGTCTTTATCATAAATTGTAGAATAGTTAAAACTGAGATTTTGAATCTGCTACATTAAATGGGGCATGGCCACAATCTTTTGGAAGAGAGCTTTTAATAAAGCTGAATGCAGAATGATCCAAGAATATCAATTCCCTAAAAAAGTATTTTATTGAACTTCCTCCCCACGATCAATATAATGCAGGGGGGAAAAAGATTCTGAAGGAATGTTTCTAGGAGGTTTTATATTAAATTATCGAATCAGGCTAAAGATCGACCAACTTTAGAAAAGCCACACCCTTAACTTTGTATTTCCTCCTTATAAGATCTGATCTCATCTATTATTTCCAAAATAAATAAGAAAAGTTGTGGGGTAGAACAAAGACAATTAGTATCATTCATTAATCTAGCCTCTTTCACTTGGTGTTCTTAAAACCAAGGTCTCCACCACTGTTTTGTTACTGTTGCTGCTGTTTTATTAGAGTGCTTATTCCCACAAAGGCAGCCTCTATAAAAGCCAACCTAAGTCCAATAAGCATAGCCAAAAACAGATCAAAGGATCTTGTTGGCAAGGCAAAGTAAATGTTCCAGGAAGACAAAAGGACTGAGAAGGTTTTCAGCTAAGCTGGAGCACATTAGGCACATAATTTTATTGCTATAAATAAATCCAATCTTAGATTCCCTCACACTGTCCAATCAGAGACAAATGTCCTACACTATTTGTAAAAGCCCTCAACATATTTCCCCAAGAGAAACTGGGAGGAAAAGCAGCTCAGCAACAGACCAGACTCTTGTCTACTCACTTAAAAGGGACTGAATCTTCACTTAAATGGGACTGAAACTTTTGAAATCCACTCCAAGATCCATGAGCTAGATGGGCCAACTCAGTAGAAGACAACCTCGTGTATTTATTTTACTCTAAACTTCATTTAGTATGTTATTTGTTTGTTTGTTTGTTTATATCCTGCTTTATCTCTCCATATGGAGACTCAAAGTTGTTTACAATAAAAAACATAACTTCAAATATACAATAAAACAGTATATTAATATATATTATCAGTAGTAATTATATTTAATATATTAGTATTACTATAGTACAATATTATTATTATAATATATTATTCTATTGTATTATTCTTAGTATTATATTGCATTGCATTATATTATATATTTCTATACTGTACTATACTATGTATTGAAAAACTAAAATGAACATTTGCGAGTTTTTAAAATGGTAACTAAATTGTAAGCTATCCAAATGCATTTTGACATTTAGGGTATTGCAATTCCCTGGTAAGGCTTAATTTAACCCCCACTGTAATTAAGCATCATCCTTTTGAAATGACTGGACACTTAGATGTACTTAGTTCGTTAAATCAGAAACCATTTAAAAAAATCAGGGATTCACCATATCTACAAAAGAAATACCATATTATCTAGATATTTCCATATTTATATACCATTGATTCCTGAAATGGACAAAGATGGCCAATGGCAGAATATGACCTCATATCTATTGGTGATACATTTCAAGCCCCTCCCCACCCCCATTCCTCCCTCTAAAGTTGGGGATTCTGTGACCCTCCAGGTGCCACTATACTGAAATTCCCATCAGCTTAAGCCAGCCTGGTCAAAGGTTAGACATAATGGAAATGCATCTTGAGTATAAAGCACCTCCTCCTGCTTTCAAGTGCAAGGTCAGTTACTGCCACAGAGAATCATGGATCTGGTAGTGTAAGTTTTCACATTACGATACACAGGTTTACAGAATGCACTGCGGTGTTATATTTCAGTTGAGCAACTCATATCAGAACATCTCATAGCAAATATAAAGCTTAAGCATTACCTTCACAAAAATATTTATCCCGATGGCAATTTAGAAAAAAGCCACAAAAGGCACACATTTTAAAAAAAATACTAAAAGAGCAGTAACACTGAGCTACACTTTTCCTTTATACACAAAGAAATGGTTGGCATTACATATATCACTTCTGTAATGGATTTCAGTACCTGAAATGTAACACCCGTTAAATAATTGAAGTATACAAAAATAAGTAGCACTTCAAAGGAAACCTACCAAAATCAGCAATCTTGGCATTCATGTGTGCATCGAGCAGTACATTTTCAGGTTTCAAGTCTCTGTGAACTACCATGTGCCTGTGGCAATAATCCACACCTGAAAGGATTTGCTGGAAGAGGCGTCTACTCTCCTTTTCATCAAGCTAACAACAAGGGAGAGTAGAAAAGGGAGTACGTTTTTAAAACACAAGCAAACAACACAAACCATTCAAGCATTTCCCTACATTTTAATAGTAATACATGCCAGTTTTGTGGCTTTGGGACAACCTCCTCCAATCCACTGCCTTCCTAGGAAGGGTAGAAGCTATATTAATTAAATCGGAAGACCTTTGATCAGGAAAAGGTGCATGAAAAAACAAAGTATGATCATTAGGGGCAAAGAGGAAAATGAACTGAAATGACAATATAAAAGAAATAGGAAAGTCCATATCATCTTTTGTTCTTAGTGGTACTTACTAATAAGACGGAAAACGTTTTTGCTTTCTAAACATCACCACTAAATCTGAATAGTGTCCAGTAGGCCTGTGCGGTTTCGTTCGTTAATTTCGTTATTCGTTAAACATTCGTTATTTTTGGCATTTATGAGGCGATATCAAAACACTTTTTCAAACCCGGAAGGGTTTTAAAATATCGAAGCGGCATCCCCCATCCTTTTAACGAGCTTCCGCCCGTTTCGGAAATTGGATGGAGGATGCTGGTGCCTGGGAGCCAATCCGGCGCTCCCAAGCACCCAAGCAGTGCACCGTGGCTGATTTTCATTGGCCGGCAAGGCCTTTAAAAGCGGCTCCGCGTGGCCGCAGAGCTCATTTGTTGCGCGGAGGCCAGGGAGGAGAGAGGTCCGGGAGGGCTGCTGCTTTGGGTTGGCTTGGGCAGGAAAAAGACTTGCATTGGGTTGGCTTGGTTGAAAAGAGTAGACTCTTCTGTTGGTGTGTGCTTTTGGCTGTGTGTCTCCTGCCTGTGTTAGCTTTTATTCTTTAAAATTCTTTAAAATTTTATTCTTCTGCCTTTTATTCTTAAAAAAAATACAAAAAATATTCCAAAAAAAGAGAAGACTCTTCTGTTGGTGTTTGCTCTCGTTTGTCCTGTCTCGTGGCTGTGTTAGCTCTACATCAGGGCCAGTTTTTGGTTAATTTTCCATTTTTGAATATTTTTTAAAAATACCTGTCTTTTATTCTTTAAAAAAATACAAAAAATATTCTAAAAAAGAAAAGACTCTTCTGTTGGTGTGTGCTCTCATTTGCCCTGTCTCGTGGCTGTGTTTGGTCCACATCAGGGCCAGTTTTGGGTTAATTTTCCATTTTGAATATTTTCTAAAAATACCTGTCTTTTATTGTTAAAAAAATACAAAATATTCGCTTTAACGAATCGATTCGTTATTATCTCAATATCGAATCGTATTTAATAACGATGTTTCGGAAGCCGCTTTTGCGCATGCGCGATCGCGTCCGCCATTTTAACGAATCGATTCGTTATATCCTTAACGAATCGACCTCCGCGCCAATAACGAAGCTTCGGAAGCGATTCTGCGCATGCGCGGGGGTCCGCCATCTTTACAAAATGTTTTGTAAATATTTACGAAATTTCGTAAATACAGAAATTTTTTTTGGGAAAGTTTTGTAATTATTTTAAATATCAAAACAAAAAAACACCCCAATTACAAATCGATTTTAGAAACAATTTTTTTCTTGATCAACCAGGCCTAGTGTCCAGGCTTCAAAACTGATGTTTCATAATGAACAAAACAGCTTCTTAGATTACTTGGCACATTCACTTTAGCGAAGAAGGTATTTAACCTGGTTTAAAAGGTCAGTACTTTAAACAAAAATAACTAAATGCCATTCTTTGAAAACTGCTAAACTGATTATTTCAGCTCTTTAGCTTTCCCATTTCTTACAATTTAGAGCAGCGAGAGGGGAGGAATAAGACGAATTGGCATAGTTAAGACATTGTAAAGCCCTCTGGCATTTAAAATTTAGCCAATGCCTATACAAGCAGTCCCCAAGTTACAAACAAGTTAAGTTCTGTACGTTTGTTCTTAAGTTGAATTTTTATGTAAGTCAGAACAGGTACATTTTTAAAGTGTAACTCCAGCCGTGTGTGTGTGTGTGCGCGCACACACGTGTGCACATGTTTGTGTGTGTGTGTAAATATATATATATATATATATATATATATATATAGAGAGAGAGAGAGAGAGAGAGAGAGAGAGCATATAGAGAAGGGTTAACACACCCTGTGGTGTTTCCTTTGCTGTCTGTGCCCCTATTCAGAAGATGTCATCTCACTTTCTGTCCCTGTGAGAATTGGATTTTGAAAAAAAGTTTGTTGTAGAAACAAGGATTGGTGATAAAGCTTCAGTTGAGACACCTTTTCCCCATGATAACTCTTTCAGGAGTGAATTTCCCTTCCCTTTCTCTCACTTCCTGTTGTCTCACTCCTGTTTGTAATTATGAGTCATTTGCAAGTCGGATGCTTGTATACCAGTTTCAGACTACAGGAAGATGCACATATCCAGAGAAGATGTATGGCTGGATTTGCCCTGTGAATATATTTTGGTGGGATGGGTCTAGTCTAGCCCTGATCCACAACCTACAAAAATATTTTCACCCTGAGACAGTTTGTGTGGGACCTACTACTTGCGGACTTTAATGCACCATTTGCTGCAAAGAGATTTGGGCTCCTTTTTTGGTAAAGAACTGTAAACAATTTTCTCTATGAAATACCTGCTATAGCTATTAATCACCACTAATGTCCATCTTATATGGCTGGTTTTGCCTCATGAATTCGTTTTGGTAGGACTTTAAGATCTTCCAGAGAGGCCCTTCTCTTGGTCCCACCACCTTCACAGTCGTGGTTGGTGGGAATGAGAGACAGGACCTTCTCTGTGGTGCTCCCCCCCCCCCCCCCCCCCCCCCCCCGGCTATGGAACGCTCTCTCCCTCCCAACTTTCAGGAAGCAACTGAAATCCTGGCTTTGGAATCAGGCATTCGCAGATTGATGGACTGAACTGGTAAAGACTAAGAGCTACTGGACCACAATGTTTGGATTGACTTGGATGATGTTTTTAAGGCAAAGAATGTTTTGTTCCAGCAAAACATGTTATTCATTGCAATGAGTAATTGCTTACAAGGAGTCCTCTTCTTGGATGAAAGGATGTTTTATTTACTTGCATAATATCTGAGTTTTTTATTAATCTTATGCTGTTTTTAGCTATGGTTTTCATGTGATGTTTTTAAATTTGTGTTTTAAACATTATTAGGTTTTAAGCTAATTTTTGTGAACCATCTTGGGTCCCTCTCAAGGAGAAGCCAGCAGGCAAGGGAGGTTTATATATCTGTGGAATGTCAAGGGTGAGAGAAAGAACTTGTCTGCTTGATTAGCACTGAATGGCATTGCAGCTTCAAAGCTTGGCTGCTACCTGCCTGGGGAAATCCTTTGTTGGGAGGTGTTAGCAAGCCCTAATAGTTTCATGTCAGGAATTCCCCTGTTGTTTGAGTGTTCTTATTTATTTACTGTCCTGATTTTAGAGTTTTTTAATACTGGTAGCCAGATTTTGTTCCTTCTCATGGTTTTCTCCTTTCTGTTGAAATTGTCCACATGCTTGTGGATTTCAGTAGCTTCTCTGTGTAGTCTGACATGGTGGTTGTGAGAGTGGTCCAGTATTTCTGTGTTCTCAAATAATATTCAGTGTCCAGGTTGGTTCATCAAGTACTCTTCTATGGCTGCCTTCTCTGGTTGAATCAGTCTGCAGTGCTTTTCATGTTCTAGAAATTCTCAGCTTCTAGAGCCAGCAAGCATGTTAACTATTAGGGGGGACTGAAGATAGGTGCATGTTTTTCCACTTTTGCCAGTGTTTTGCACCCTTAATTTCTGTGAAAGGGAAAGTCTGACTGCACTCCTAGAATGAACATTCTCTCTTCCTCTCTCCCTCCCCACTCTTGATGCCACAGAAATATTTCAGATATGCAACACCATATAGAACTTATTTAGAAGAGGTGCTCCTTTAAATAATGAAAGATGGTTGTCATAACAAGTGCTCTTCATCATCTCCAAATTTTGCATTTAGCATGCTCTGGCTGCTGTAAACTCAGGCTTGATTTGCAAGTCTGACCGCTGAGGCACGAATCGATGATGAATCTTATTATAGGAGGGAAAATTATTTTACTTCACAGAATAAATGGAATGGTTTGACCAAAAGGCCCCTTTACCCAACTGACTGTTCAGGTGAACAGTCTGACCATATGAGTAGAGTAATGCAGACAGTGAACTCACTCAAACCCTTCTACTCCCTTATGTGAACTGGGTAACTTTGTTTTCCTAGGTTCTGGAAAGATGGGTGGGAAAGCTCAAACAAGCATTGCATAATTTAGCTTTTCATGTCACATCTGGAGCAGCTCACAGAACATATTAAAGGCTCGTCTAACACTGCAAAATGAACAGTACTTTGAACAGATAAAGAGAAACTTACCCTTCCATTTTTACAGATGTAATCAAACAATTCACCCCCTGAAACATATTCCATCACCATGAAAATGTCAGAGGGTGTGCTGATAACCTGGTACCTGTGAAAGACAACACATCAACAAATAGATTACATATGCTTAGATACATAATGTAACATTATGTAGATCTTCTATTTGACAGCAAAATAGCATATGTTTATCTGGTCAGGCATCCCAATTCAATAGGATTTATTTCTCAGGTTAATGTCATACAAAAAACTTTCACTTGACATTTTTGGATCCCTGTTCTGTGCCATGTATAAAACATTGCTTGCCATGATTTGTTCATTGCACAACAGAACCCATACTAGAAAACCTTCCCACATTTATTTTATCCACACGACAGGAACAATCCATTTCTCAATACACATACCCCAAGAAAACCCCACCCAATATTAGAGATTACTTTGGAACAAAAACACTCAAGAGCTTACAGTTTAATTATGTGTGGATGCCGAAAAAGCTTCAGATTTTGAATTTCTCTGCGGATTTTTCCCACAACGTCAAGACTGCGAATCTTCTGTCTGTTCAAGATCTTTACCGCTACTTTGTGCCCAGTCAGCTCATGCTTGCCAACTACAAGAAAGAATGAGAAGTTCAGCCAAAGTGTGACAAAGGAGGTGCTCACAAAAAAGACACTTTAATTAAGGCTATCAGGTCTGTTCTCCCTAAAAGGGGGGGGACGGGGACAGAAAGACTAAAAATGTTTCTCTCTCAGGCTGACTTCACAAGAACAAAAGTAAGCAATACTGCAAGAACTATTCATTGGGACATACCTTATTGGCATACACAGTTTTATTTGTTTACTGCACACAAACACATTACCTGTATGCTAAGGTATTCAAATAGTGAATAATAATACACCTAAGATTCATAAGAGACAAAAGCCAAGACAGCTAATTTGTCTCTGACCTTGCTGGTCTCTCAACAGCAAATAACAGAGTGAGCTCTTCAGCTAGACTTCTTCTCTGCCTTTCCTTACCACAACCAAGTAGGTAAACATCAGGTTGTCCCATCAAATCTGCAGAGATAATCGTACAGAGACAGTTGCTATACAACAACAGTTTCCATTCATTATTACACCAGAAAAAAGATCACACTCCATGACATTGTAAGAGGAAGAGGTCCATCCTACTTTCAAGAAAACAAGTTCAGTAAGAGCCACGTAGTCAACCAGATCATGATTATCCGAAACCATGCATACAACCAAATGCCATTAAATCATCTGACTTCTGGCCCTAAAATATCATAGTTTTCTGCTGGAGATATATCCTTTAGATATATGTTACAACAACTCTATGGTTACTTCCAGGAGAAGTATAGCACAGAATCACCTGGAGGGCCCAGCAAATTCCTAAAGACCCCTTTTCTCAAGGCACGGGTAAATGAAACAGCATATATGCATTTCACAGATACAGGGTATTACTGTAGTTTACTGAAAAAATCTTAAAGACAGATATATAAAAAAACAGATCCAATGGATAGAACTTGTGGGCACCAGTAATTCTGAAAGTTATTTACAATCTTCAGGTTAAGAGACTATCAATAGTACACACTGGGGTCCAATAGAACAGGAGAGTTACTATGAGCAGCCATATTCTTGTAAAAAGTATTTGAATACACGAGTTTCAGAAGAATTCAACCTGATGCAGGCTCCTGACTTTAATTCTTCTCTCAGTGAGAGTAATACCAAATTAAAAAACATGAAATGTTTTCAAACTGAAGTGACATCCAGGTGAGTTAATTCATATTTTATCCATCTTCTTAAAACTCTGCATGAAAGAAAGTACAGTAGATTGTCTGTGAAAGGTGAGATTGGCTGCAAAGTACCTCAGATCTCTTTCATACTACACAATTATTGCCATGGCTACATCCTGTTATCCAGGAATCGATATCATAGAATGATTAGGACTAGAGCTCTCTGGCAAAATATTATGAATACCACCCCAAACTACAAGTTCCAGAAATGAAACTATGGCTGTTTAAGCGGTATCCAAGTACTGAAAGTATGTAATATTAGAGAGACCCTAGGCAGGGAAGTCTAAAATAAAATAGGAGTCAATTCACTTCTTCTATTAGGACTTAAGTATGGCAAAAGTGGTCAGTGGACATATGTGTGTATACATAAGGTCAACATTCTATCCCCCCCCCCCCACATTTTTTTTTTCTGTTCCTTCTTGTGCAATGATGCTTTATAGGAGTGAATTCGAAGAAGCAAAATTCTACTATTGTATGAAAGCTGGTTTTAGGCAAGGTCTCTAATCTGCTAATGCTTTATACTTATCTCAAGTGGCAGAGTGAGAAAAATTAGTAAATCAATTTACTGGCAATAGATACTTACATTATTCACACTGTTAAATGGAGGGCAACCATTACTTTGGTTGACAGCCTCTACCAAAGACAGATAGAACCTCAAGTTATACTAAAAGCACAATATATTTTATCACTGTGGCACTAGCTTTTTTTGAACAAAGGCTAATGGGTGTTTTCCTTAGTAATATCACACCCTTTCATTGAACTTCAAAAAGTATTAGCTAACTGTATAACCTTTAGAACCATCAGAAGAATGGCTAGGTCCCATAAGACAATGCTTGACAGCTGCTTATAAAAGGACCAAACTAGAATGACAGCTCAAACCCATAATCCTGATCTCCCATATTTTTCAGAATCTTTCCTATCCTGAGCATTTATAAATATATTGTATCACCTTACTGTGTGTCACACAAATATATTTAAATTTTTAAATACTTCTAGATAAAAGCACATTGAACAGGATAACAGTACGAACAACATTAGAAGTTACAACAACCTAAAACCACATATATTGTAACAAGCTTACTAAGTCTGCCATCAGAAAAACACCATCATTGTTGCCAATCAGACCTCCAAGAAAGAGCATTCTACAGTTGCAGTGCCACAACCAAGAAGGCCCTCTCTTATTTTCACCTATATCAATTTGCTCCTATCGGTGAAAAATGTGGACAAACCTTAGTTTTCAGGCTATTTACAGTTCTAAGACCCACCATTCAGAACAGTGGTTCCCAATCTTTGGGCCTCCAAGTGTTTTGGACTTCAACTCCCAGAAATCCCAGCCAGCTTACCAGCTGTTAGGAACTGTGGGAGAACAAGTCCAAAATACCTGAGGGTCCAAAGGTTAGGAACCACTAGTTTAGAAAGTGCCTTAAAACCTTCCTGTTCAAGGAAACCTTTGGGGATCATAATTCAATGATATTAAATGGTTAGAAAGGCCTATGGGTTTGTTATATACAATTGGGTTCATATATTTTATTGAAATTTAATTAGAGTTTACAGCATGTCTAATATTTCTGGTTTTATTTTAACGTTTATATTGTGTGTTTTATTGGCTGTAAGCTGCATTGGGCCCTTGAGTGGGGAAAGGTGGGATATAAATTTCTTAAATAAATAAATACCAAAATCCAAGGATGCTCAAGTTCCATTAAATACAATGGTAAAATAAAATGGCATTCCTTATTTAAAATGGCAAAGAAGTCAAAGCTTGCTGTTTGGAATTTTCTGCTGAATATTTTTGAGGTGTGGTTGGTTGAATCAATGAATGCACAATTCATGGTTATGGAGGGCCAGATGTTCTTAGGGAGAAGCACTCCTTCAAGAATCAAGTCTTAAGCCATTTAGGGCTCTAAATCACCAGCACCTTAAATACAGACTGGAAGCAAGTTGGTAGTCAGAACAGCTCCTTTAAAAGTGATATTCGAGTCAACAATCTTGTTGCTGCAATTTGCCCTTCTGTAATCTCCAAGTCATCATCAAGGACAACTCCATATAGAACTCACTATAGTAGTCTATTCAGGAAGTTAACAGTTTTTGGATTACAGTAACTAAGTTATCCCTGTCCAGGAAATATTGTAGCTGACTTGGTCCCATGTGTCTGCTCTGAAGATCAAGAGCAGGATAGGATTAAATGTTTGCCCTCATGTCATTTCCCTGTCTAGAACATTGGTCTAAAATTTAGTGTTTGTGTAAAATGTATAGCTATTTATACATTTTCCCTGTGGAGCTATTATGTTCAAAAATGTGGAATACGGGAAAGATAAGGATTTAACTCTGCTCGGTGCAGTTTCCCTAGTCTTCAAACCATCTGCAAGGAATGCAATTAAACTGGACAGTCCTAATCCCCAATATTATTTCTTGTTTGGCCATAAACCACTTTGCAGTTTGCAAAATACAGAAACCTTCAATTATTCAACAAATTCTAAAGCAAATGTCAGTCTTGTCCAACAACTTTCTACAGGTCTTGCAAGTTTTTTATATTGCTGTTTTCATTGCATTGTTGTTGAAAAGACTTGTCATTCTTTAGATATGCTTTACTTGAGTGTCCTTTTGGAACAGGAAAATGGAAAGCTACATAAATTATAAATGGTTTGCCACTGCTAGCTTACACTGCACCGCAAAGATAATGAAGTTCACCCAAAAACCTGCCAGCATTTTATACTGAACAGAAAAGCTCACATTTCAAAGGAACAGTCTATTTTATAAGGGGGAGGTTACTGTTGAAAATACAGTTAGCAAACAGTCTTAAAGGAAATGAAGAATTATGAATAATCTCCAGTCAGCAATGGAAAGTCACTCTCTCTCAGCCAAAGAGAAAGAGGCAAAGGCAAACCTCAACAGAACAAATCCTGCCAAGAAAACTCCACACATATGTACTTTGAGGTCATCATAAATCAGAAATGATTTGTAGGCATGAATGAACTCAAGCCAGTCAAATACATATATGAGTATCAAAACCAAAAAGACTTGAGGGATATTGCAAAATATAACAACAACAAGAGGAAATTTCAGTATGAAAATGCCTCAAGAAACAAGTTTGAAACTATTTCAGGACCACAAGGGTACATAAGATATCCTCTTTCTACTTCACTTTGGAATTTTCTCCCCTGGAGGATTTCCAAACTCAATATATGCGCCTTGTGACAACTACAACTGAATTTCAAACTGGCAGCTCAGCACCATGGAAGAGGTGAAATAACTAGATAGAGTGACCTGCCTCAACCCTTGGGATGGAATTGTTACACTTCTAATAAAAATAACTTCTGTAGATTAACTTTTTAGGTCTTACTAGTATACAGCAATTCCACTAAATAAGTGGAGCTTACACAACTGTTGACTTGCGAAGTTTCACTGAGCCAATTGGAACTTCAGTTAGATTTAGTTCTTAGTCAGAGAATGTGTTTATTTCACCACTAAAAAGAGCAAGTGAACTCAGAGTTCAATAAAAAACTGTACCCAGTAATGGGTACAAAAAATTAAGACTGATTCAAATGCTTTGGAAAACTATCCAGAAAACCTGAAACAAAATGTAAAGATGAATTAGAATTGAATCTATTCCAAAAATATCCCTGAAGCCTTGCAATTCACATGAAATGTATCCAATACTAGGGTTCACATTTTTGTTTCTGTCATCAAAATGTCAAGCTATAGAAATAACTGTTTGGAATCTGGAGTTCCAAAAAAATAGTACATGACACCAAAAATAGTACTCAAAGGATGATCCATAAACATACTCTGCTTGCCTTACCACCATCGGATCCTCTGAAGATGCCAGCCACAGATGCAGGTGAAACGTCAAGAG